CGCTTCGATCCAACAACGCTGTCCTTTCGACTTTTTGCCAGGTGCTGTCCATTATGTCAATATCTGCCTCCCATTCCCGGCGTAATGTGTTTTATGGTCTGCCTCTTTTCCTCTTGCCGTGAGGATTTCAAATTAGGACGTACTATGTAATGCAGTTTAATACTTTCCACAATGTTATGGCCTATCCACTTCCAACATCTTTTCCTAATTTTTTCTTTGGTCGGAATCTAGTTTGTTCTCCGGCGCAGTAGGTTGCTGCTGATGGTATCTGGCCAACGGATCTTGAGTGTCTTTCGAATTTCGCAACTCGCGAAATACAATGTTCCAGCTGTGATTCCCTGAATAGATACTGCTTATGGTTAATGTGTAAAACCAATCCAAACAGGTTGTAAGACAAAAGTACTTCTCCCTCCAAAGAGATGTAGTTCACGACGTCCAGAAGCCAGCGCTATTGATCATTGTTCAGTCGCCTTGAAACTCCATTCGTTTGAGTCACACAGATTCATTGTGGCTGAGTAAAGATATCTTCAGGATAGTGTTGATATTGTAGAAAACAGAATCACATAATTGTTTACTCGTACATATTCTTACTGGCTCTGTAATATTACACTCTCTTGGTGACGATTTGCATAGTTCCGAAACTAGTTATCAATTTCTCGTCTATGTCAGACAATGTGATTGAGTTATGTGTAGTAGGTCTGTATGCTGGTTAGTGCTTTCGCATCGTTCACTGTGAAGTTATTACAAATGTTCTTGAGTTCATGAATGTAGTGAATTTACAATTTCTAACACTATAGCATCGATTTTTGGCATCAATCCGGACAGTACATCGTGGTTCGCGACAAGGAAAAGAACAAGTTTTAGTCGTCCCTAACAAATGGTTACTGAACAAGGAGCTACTAGATCCTGACAGTCGCTTCTCCTTCGGACCATACACCGTATTGCATCATTGTGGTAAGTTGTCGCCACTTTGTGGTCATTGTTTCCAGACGACTACCATACAGCCGAGGGATTGGAAGCATCACTCAATACATTACTCCCTTACAAATGCACAGTTACACCTGGGGAGGACACGCTACCGTGTGGAACTGAGAAGCCGATGGGGCGAATTGATAAACGTACGTAAATCATTCATTGTTGAGGTTGTCTAACATAAAATGAATGACTATTTGTACACATCTGAAGAACTAGAGGTTGCTGAAATAGGAACTGAATACGTCCTAGTCGACCTTCGACTTGCCAACATTTTGACTGGGAACATTTCTTCTACAGCTAAGTAAGTACATAGTGCATTCATACTCATAAAGCAGTTAATCGAAAATAGATATTTTTCATCACTGCTTCAATCTTCTTAGAAGGAAGTTAGTAAGCCGTACGTTGTAGTAAATGTGAACATGATAGCAATCGGGTGTACAATGATGACAATAAACATTGAAAATGACTTGGAAGCAGTCAATGAACTATCTAACAAAATCGACAAACTGACTACTTACATCACATGTTCATCCATGGGTGTTAAGGAGAGACACAGCGATAACGTAGACACTTCGAGTCGCGCACTCCCGTTGAAAACACCTGAGGGAATGCGAACTCTCGAAGTTGCTTTGAAGAAGCGCAGGTTTCATAACCCGTTCGTAAGTTGTGATTAGTGTTTATAAAATTTCAGGTGACCAGATTGTCCGAGATACTATGTGACGGTCTTCGAGAATCAAACAAGCTGTGTCTAGCTTATGTGCTGAATCCGGAACTGGCAACTGCTGATATTTCACCTTTGATTAAAAGTAAAATAAGTATCAGACACAACACGTTCTACAGGACGATTCAAAGTTATTTCACATACCGGTTTTTATACATTTATAGGTGTTTTGTGTTCACGGTTCTGAAGTGCAACCTGTACAGAGAACCAAATAACACAAGCCATGGAGGTATCGAGCCAGGCTTTCTTACACGAAACAAGAAATAACCTAAATAAGCGTGGATAGTGATTCAATGAAAAGGTGAACACAATGCACTTCAGATCTGTAATTAAATACTGGTTCTTCTTTCTGTGTTAGTTCCTGGTAAACATTTATACTGAAATAATTATTTCCTATCTTATTTGCAGATGACTTCGCAAGTGTCTTTTATTCAGGAAACATCAATGTTACACTATTGACACGTAATCAACCTTTCACATGACATCATGGATTCCTAGGCTGGATAGTTGCTTTGACATAGGGCATTCGTTTGTCGACCATAAGCAATTCGGCCGTTTTGCTACTGTGTTTGTAACGCAGAAGAATAATTGTTTTTTATAGAACACTGTGAAAGTTCAACACCAACCTGATGTTTTCAACAGAAACGAATGAGAAATTGCTAAGAATCGGAAGGAATTATTTATTAATGGGTAATTTAAACTTTATTAAACTTTATAAACATTTTCATTTATAACGCACTAGTCTTTTAATTACAGTTATGCTTATCTATCTCGAAAGACCGGTTCTTGTTACCAACTATGGTTTTGATTGCTTTGGAACTGCGTTCACTTTGCGAAAAAAATTGAATAGATTTTTTGGCAACTTTAGAGTGTATGTTACTGAGTCGCCAGGCCTTTCTGAAAAATCAGTGATATTGAAGTTTTTTACGAATGCAAAACTGTGAATAACTCGAGATCGTGCAGAATTGGAGAAGAACCCTTGAGACATTTGCTATATCTACTCATAATGAATTTTTGGGAAAGTACGTGCAGACGTATCTACTCCTCTATGTCATTATTAACTCTTCATAAGGGAAAGGATAAGCCGAAAATTCCTCAGTGTTTTATTCAATAGTATTGCTATTTGTTTTTTTCTTTTTGCTGTCTTATATTTTGAATTTTACTCAGAACTCTTGGAACCACATTTTATGCTCTTCAGTCTTTTTTGTCTGGACTTTCATTATTCAACTTTGGCTAAAGATTTAACTTTATTAATTACTCGTTCTCGAGCCATTAACAACGAAGTGGCGTTTGACTGAGTTCAAAGTTACGACGTGGTTCAGTTGATATTCGTTGACCTGGAGAATTATGGTCTACTATGATATTACTACTGCTCTAACAATAGACCTAATCCTATAATTGTAGATTTGTCATGATATGACTGCTTAATCTATAAGATCTTACATGGAATTCACATCATCGTCTACATCAACTCGCTGCATCGTAAAAATTACTAACACGTGATAGAGAACAAACGTAGGCTATAGGAAGAACAATATATTTAATGTGAACAAAAGATATAAGGCAACATTCGTCAGGGAACACGCCTGCATGGCCGAGCCATGCCAAACGATCAACTACAATTAATTCAATTCATTTTTCTCGCCCTCTTCATCTTCGGGTTTTTCTCGTGTTAAATACTGAATGTCTATTAAGACCAAGTGCCACTACAGACCTCTGACTGTTTCTAGATTCAGTTGCTTGAATTTTTGCGGATAGATATTTGGTTCTAATCAGCTGGTAATAATCCTACTGACTACCAGATGCCAATTACTTATTTGTTAACAATATCTTTCACTGTTTGTACGTTATTTTGTGTAAGAGAAGCCTTGACTGTATATCACAGACATTGTGCTTCTGACACAATTCGGTTCGCTTTCCTAAATTATAATCGTTTAAATAGAACGCGGGTTTTATGTTTTAACATAATTTAAAACGAGTCACTCAAAAACGGTTTGTACGCTACACAAGTGATCGTAATTTTTTCCAGACGAATTAAGTTTAGTTTACATCAGATGCCGAAATTTCGGTCTTTACACTCCGGACTTTTAAAATAGTTGTGTGGTGAGCTTAAAAGTTTTCCGAAAACCTAAGTGGGGCAAACTGAGCAGTAGATTGACAGTGATAATGTCCAGTAGCTATTAAAAGCATGTCACATATAAATTAGACAGAAGGTACTGCTTCCGCATCTGTTTTATTCTGTTTCATATCGAGCTACGCAGTCGTCCACTACAACTCACTGTGACAGTCAAACAATTCGTTTTGAAGCCATGTCAAATCCGCAGCATCGGTTTATTTGTAACCCTTCATGAAGTTAATTTGTGTAGCTTCTGCCGACTTTATGGCTAACGTGGAGAACTTAAAGACTGACTTCTTAACGATTAACGAAAACAAATGAATAAAACAGTTTGCTGACTTATCACGTGGACACGATGACAGCTGTTCGACAACTACTATGTGTTTAAAAACTGAGAAGAATAACGAATCCCACTAGAACTTCTCCGGGGTTGTGTTGAATAACGGTGTCTAAGACTTAAGTTCTAGTTGGTGTCCTCTTGAAGCTCTAAATTTATGAGAAGTAGTATTGTCGAGCTAACTTGCACCGACATTTATATACTCACTAGAACTGTGTCAACTATGCGTCCCTAAAATGCCAGACATTATGTTAGCCACGATCCCAGTCACTGAAATAGCGATGCTGAGTTCAGGAAATATAACCATGGGATAACTTAACAGTATATTGCAGTCGATACTGCGTTTCCAAAGACACTTCCAGCCAAGATTAAAAAAAGGTTATTCTTCTCCTCATTCAACTGATCAAAACTCGTATTCTCCTGCGCTTAGAATCTGGCCAAAAAAGGAGAAAAAACAATTATAACCTCATTTCACACATATTTCCGGCTGGCATACGAGTGAGACGATAGCACTGAGTAAAAGTAAGTTCTTAATAAACCAAGCAATTATAACGATATGATTCTTAACAACCATTCTCAAACCACAACCATGAAACATTAAACATAGCTTAAGCCTCAATATTTGAATAGTACTCGACACCTTGAACTCACCTATTACTTCGTTATCCAATTCCTACTGAAATAAGGATACTGAGCATTGTGTGTATGTCCGTCACTCATTATTTTGTCCAAAGCCTATCTCTTTGTCACATTACACATTATCTATTTTGAGCTATATTAACTCTTGTAATGAGTAGTATGGGCGAGTTGGCTCACTTGTCGTCTCCACTTCACTTTGGTTTGCCCGCACAGACGATTGCAGTGAAATAAACCGATTCAACAGAATTCGCATTTGGCTTTTTATTACCATCGTACAAACGGGGTTAGGCTACGTGAAGTATACAGAACTAAACGAAAGCATATTTGTTCGTTCGAATTGGAGTCAGATCAAAGAGCCACTAAAATACAAACTGGGTGTTAATAATCAGAGGATAATGTATTTGATCAAACACTATGGTGTGTGTGGTCAAGATTATTTGTGAAGGAAAAATGACGAGGTGGCTACCTACCTTTACATCTACGTACGAATTAGGAAGTAATACACGAGTTCTATATCCTGATGATAGATCCATCCATGATCGAGAACCATATATAAAGGTGACAGGAACATTAGGATCGAGTTGACTAATTCTGTCTAACATTGGGCGTTGAGGCCATCCAACTGAACTACATAATGACTTGAATCCTGTTTCACCGCTTAAATGAAAATTGTATTCTCAATAATAAAAGCAGAATTAGAATGAAATAGCAAGATAAGAATGATAAACTGTTATAAAAAGTAGATATTACTTCGTAATCTATATTTATAAACCGCTTTTTTTTGTAAATACCATTCTTATGAGACGAAAATATGACTAGTACACGTTTAATGAAAGAAAAACGAATCAGCTGATAAGAATTCGTCTTGTCTTAGGTTGAAACAATTATTGACATATTCATCAAGACAAAAGATTTCTTGTAAGGAAATGAGCAGAAGAGTTGGCCTTGAGGTGACGATGCCATCGTTTAGAACTCACCTGGACAAACTCTCTAGTGTCCGCAGGGTTGAATAATGGGAACAAAAAAATAATTCGATAAAACATTACGTGATTTTTCGGGTTCATGCACAACACAATGAACGTAAAATTAGGAAAAATAATAAAACAATCTACTAATATATCACCCATATAAATCCCCAGACAAAAAACTTACTTAAGTAATCACAGAATACGAAATAAGTCGCTTTTCGGTTCATTATTATTAACACCACAATTCGTAATATTAATTTTCCCCTAATCCAGAAAAGACCACATCTGACAGTACAAAAGTGGACAATGCATGCATGAAATTACCTTTCAAAAATTGAATCAATATATACGAATTTGAGCAACGAACAACTAGAAGCATGAAACTACAACACAAATATATACTTGCAATTATCTATGGTAAAAATGTACAAGGGCGAATTATGAAACGTTTAGTTGTACAGACAAAACTTAGATGTGTGCATGTACAGGATCTGACCACTTCTGACGGTTCTATTTTATCATAAAAAGTCTAATAACTTCTTGAAAACTAACTAGATTGCGGTGAGCCAAGATGTCAACTGATTTAACTTTACTTTCAGAGAAAAACCTGTAATAAGGTCAGCAGCAAGTACAACCCTAATGTGAATGAAACAAACTGTGAGGTTGATGGTGCTTAAGCTAGTAAAATTTAGACACCCATAACTTTATGCAGTTTCACTGCACCACCGATTTCGGCAAAATTGTGACCTTTTCCCTGCCAGTGAACACAAATGCGCCTGAAGAAGTGGACCCCCCCGAAAATTCATCCTTTACAGAATCGCAAGTCACCAGGCCTAAACGAATTTTCTCTTATGATTTTTAATGCGACAGATCTTTTAGTCACGAATACGACAATGTTTTTTGAAAAGATACGAAACAATGAGAGTTTTTCATCAAAATTTCGAGTAACTAAAATATCGAGCCTAGGAAGGGGTTCATATAATACATATAAAGGATATAAGTTTGTAATCAGAAGAGTTAAAATATATGGACTTCCATAACTCTATACAGATAACATAAGAAGCATGAAATCCACTACACAATGCAAAATCCCTCGACATCATCGTGCGATAGGGAGGGCAAAAGTCATTTTTTAGAGATATCATGCCCAATTTTAGTCAATTAAAGATGGACGTTTCCTAACATTTATTTGATAAGGAAGCGTACATTGACTGCGAGAGGTGCTGTTGTACCGTGGTCATGAAGAAAACAATGTCTCGTGTATAAAGATGCACGAAAAGCAATTCTAGGATCGGAATCATATGGATTCAGGATAATCAAAGCATCCTTCAAAACAAAGGAAAGGATCACAATTAATGCTATCCAGTGCCATGCGCCCACCAATGATTGCAATGAAGACGATAAATACCAGTTTTATGAGAGGCTGCAGTAGATTGTAGAGGAATGTCTCGGAAAGGACCTGACCGTCCTGATGGGAGATTTAAACGCCAAAATTGGAAAGGACAACACCGGGTATTAAGATGTCACGAGAAGACATGGACTGTGAGGAAGCAATCGAAATGGTGAGACATTTGCAAATCTATTTGCTTTCAACAAATCAGTATTTCAAACAGCGTGGTTCAATGGGAGGACTGCCCAAAACACCATATATATGAGAAAACATGGCATGCTCACTCATATTATAGGTGAAATTCATTAAACAAAAGTAAACAAAATTCAGAATAACACGGAACGGAAAGAAATACCATGTAACCATGTAATACACTGAATCAAGCGAAAAATATAGATCACAGCGACCGACTGGTCACAAACAAGAAACATCAATCACTGAGGCCAAACAGCAGCAAAACAGATGGATAGAGAGAGCACTTTGAAGAGCTCCTGAATAGAACAGCTACACTGAACTCAACGAAAATTGAAGCAGCACAGACAGACCATCTTGCAGATGCTCAACCAACAATAAAATAAATCGGCATGGCCACCAAACTAACAAAGGCTGGGAAAATAGCAGTTCCAGTCAATATATCTATGGAAGCACTGAAGTCTGTAAGTCTAAAGACTGCAAAGATGCCCACACTATTTTCTGAAAGATCTGGGAGAAGGGACAAATACCAGCGGACTGGGAAGAGGGATACCTCATCAATATACCAAAAAGAAGAGATCTGAGCAATTGTGAGAACTACAGATGGATCACACTACTGTCAGTACCAGGAAAAGTTTTCAACAGAGTGTTGTTGAACCGAATGAAAGATTCAGTAGATGTCCAACTTCAAGATCAACAGGCTGGATTTTGTAAGGATCAATCGTGTACTGACGAGATGGCCACACTACGGATCATTGTTGAGCAATCAATTGAATAAAACTCACCACTATATATCAACTTCTTTGGCTATGAAAAAGCATTTGACAGTGTTGATGGGAAAGCCTCATGGAACGTTTCCCGATACTATGGTGTACCTGAGAAGATTGTCACCATCATACAGACTTCTTGTGAAGAACTATGCTGCAAATTCATGCATGAAGGGAAGCTCACAGATGCATTACAAGTGAAGATCAATGTTAGAAAAGGCTGCTTACTCTTTCCTTTTCTATCTCCTCTAGTGGTTGATTAGACCATTAAGACCTCTAAAGCTCAGAGAAATTACGCAAAACAGTGGATAGTTTTCACGCAACTAGACGATTTGGACTTCGCAGATGACCTAGTTCATATATCCTATACACACAGACAAGTGCGGGCGAAGACAGTCAATTTAGAAAGTCTCTCCAGCATTAGGCCTCAACATACACAAAGGAAAAAGCAAGTTCCTAGAATACGACACAGCGAGCAGCGACCTAACCACATTTGGTGGAGAAGCTATGGAAGAGGTGGAAACTTTTACCTACCTGAACAGTAGCATTGATAAACAAGGAAGATCTGCTGCAGATGTGAAGGCAAGGATTGGCAAAGCCAAGGGCAGCATTCCTGCAATTGAAGAACATCTAGGACTCAAAAACAACTGTCAGCTAACATCAAAGTCAGAATTTTTAATATGAACGCCAAGACAGTTCTACTACACGGAGCTGTGACATGGGGAACTACCAAAACCATCATCAAAAAGGTACAGGTATTTATAAACAGCTGTCTACGTAAGATACTCTAGATCCGTTGGCCAGATACCATCAGCAGCAACCTACTGCGCCGGAGAACAAACTAGATTCCGACCAAAGAAAAAATTAGGAAAAGATGTTGGAAGTGGATAGGCCATAACATTGTGGAAAGTATTAAACTGCATCACATAGTACGTCCTAATTTGAAATCCTCACGGCAAGAGGAAAAGAGGCAGACCATAAAACACATTACGCCGGGAATGGGAGGCAGACATTGACACAATGGACAGCAATTGTCAAAAACTGGAAAGGAGAGCCCAGGACAGTGTTGGGTGGAGAGTCCTGATTGACAGCTCATGCTCAAACAGGGTTAATATATGTGAATGGCATCCAATTGTCACATCGCACAGACATAGTGAGATAAGATTAGTAGTAAGAATGCCAGAGTAAGAAAAATTAGTAACATCATCAGTAGCAGTGTTTCACATTTTTGTAAAACAACATGATATTCACATCTTGACTGTAATCGTACATGAATTGTGCGTTTTTAAGTTCCTGATTCGTACATTTACGACACTGTGATTTCGTTTTTTGCAACGAATTTCTTGATACTTTATTGTCGCAAGTATTTCATGGTCTATGAACAGCGTAATAAACAAAACTTAATAAATTCTTATACGGTTGATTAGCATGAGGCATTTAAACGATTTAAAATTTAGCATGAGCGATTACCGCTATATGTATACACAAATCTAGAATAAAAACTGCTTTCAGTGAGATTTTTCAATACAGAAGTAGTAAATCCTGGTATGTTGCCAGTAATTCTTTTTAAATGGCTAATTTAAAAGCGTTTACTTGACAGAAGGTATACTGGGTCAGACTTTTTAAATGTGACTTGCAAACAATCCGCAAATGTTTTGATAATAATCACGCCGGGTATCATAGTTAAGTTGTTCTATTTGTGCCTAATAACATTCCGTTGTAATATGTGACTTTTTTTGTTTCTATTTAAACGTGACACAACATGTGATGTGATAAACTTAATTTCATGTCAAAAACTGTACCAAGATTATATATATATACAGATGGTTACTATGAGATTTATGGAGTACAATGGTATCGCTTGTTTTGAAAAAAATTGAGCAACTGAAAAATTAACGTTATGTTTAATTATAAACTAGGTTGTATAAATCAATGAATTTTGATGTCAAACATTTTGATATGCTATTATGGTTTATCCTTTGACAAATGAAAATCAATTCCATATAGCGCTAGAATTCAAAGAATTATAAAGAAAGGTTTTATGAAAAACAGAAGTTATGTTGAGTTTATAAATGATCATATACTGTTATATGGGGTTTTCTGAGTTATGCAGTTTGGTAATTAAAAGTTGAATCACTGACAATTTTAAAGACTTTTTCCACACAGATAACAATAATTCATAGAGCACAATGTGATCGTAGTAATATCGAAAGACAATAAATCGAATGGAAAATCCAGAAAGCAATGTTATGCAAGTGTTTTTGCAGAAATAATAAATGGTCAATTTACTGATAATTATACATAAAAATTATAACTAAAAGGTTACTTATAACAAGAACGAATGAAAAGCAGAATCAGTGTTTGTGGTAACAGCATATGGATCTTCATCTAAACATTGACCATGAAGACAGTATGCTAAGCTACTTATAAAATCAACAAAACAGGATCATAAAAATTCGCTACATACAGTGAACTGTTTATATAGTTAGCATACATCTACAGGCGAAATTCAAATGTCATTGCTCAGATGTTAGTTAAAATAACGGTAGCTTACAGCTAGATCACATTTCACAATAATTACTTTCATGCTATAACATGGTGCCTATTTTCATTCCTTGATGTAACTGGTGGTTAGTGTATCAAAGGTTTTAAAATTCGCTCGATTACATCCTAAACTCTTAATAGTTGTTCATTTATAGAAAATAGGGTCACGACTCGTGACTTCCTACATATTCATCATATGCCTAATCATGGAACGATATCGTTTGGATAAGAATTTCCACCCTTCTATTCACTGATAATCACCTCTAAAACAAACAAGATATAGATTTTCATTCATCCAACTAGAATGATGTGCATCACTTTTAAGAGCGTATTGCTCACATGCACTGGAAGACTTATGCGTATACAGAGTCAAGACATTTGCGGACAGTAAATTAATTCGAGAAGAGAATACCAACGTGCAGATAATATATATATATATATATATATATATATATATATATATGACTAAGAGAATCAGCCGTCATAAGTCGAAGAAACTATTCACCACAAAAATGTGCGAAAGCCTACAATACAACAGTTACAAAATTAATTACTCTTGCTAAATAAACCAAAAATCTAATTAAATAAAGAACCTCTAGTTACTTTAACACGAAAATAGGGGGGAAATCACTCTCATTTGACGGGATAAGTTGGTTTTTATTGTCTACATACGACCACTGATCCTGACATAATTAAACATTTAGGAAAAGCCTCTGAAAAAGCCTCACAAAAGTTAAAAATATTTACAATCCCTTAAACAATTTACTTTTCTTTCTACTCCTGAATAACACGAACTTATTTATGCGAAATAACAGTAATCAGATGGTGAACAGTTTAGTCCAGCTAAAAAAACCAATAGATGTAATTAAGACAATGGTACCTTGGATGCTGACAGTTAATATGATAGACGTAATCCAAAGCTACAGACCCATCCAAATCGTTTAAATCAATAGAATCCATTGTATTGGAATTTGATTTGTCATAGACGGTCTCCCCAGTCTTCATCGTTCTGTGGATCGGTGATGGAGGCTTGAAAACATCATCCTCACCATTAGTTGACTGAATGTGATTATCGTAAGAAAAATTCTGGGTCGATTCAAGTTGTTCTGCTCGAGGTATTTCTGTCATCTTAGGAATTAAAAAATGTTGGATATTAGAATTGTAATCTAAAATTACACATTATCGTTTACTTACTAGACATTTACAACAAGAAAAGTGTCTAACATTGATGCATGAATTTCATGCAAGTTATAAAAAAATCCACTCAGATTACGGAGAGCGCCTGAAGACGAAATCGTCGAACCGAGTAACATATTACCAATTCGCCAGTATAAACTGCTAAGGAGAACTCAGATTACTTACATGTTATCTTTTTTTCTTAAAGAATAATCTCGATGACATTTTTCTAAATTATATTTCAGTAGTGATCTACACTGTTATCAGATTAGTTGTTTTTAATTACAGTCTGCTAGTTGTCTTATGCATCCCAACGTCAATGAGTGTTACTTTGTAAATGGAGTTGTTGAATTTTTGATTTTTGGTTCGAAAGATAACGTTGTCCTAAAACGTCCCTTCTCTATTAGGTGCGTGGATCATTACCGTTGAAGCGTTTTTCTTCGACGTCCAGTCTGTCAAGTTCTCATTAGTCTTGTTAGCATTAAAAGATTCTCAAATTACCGTAGGCCCAACCTAAAACCAATCACAATTACATTATAAAACTTAAAATAAACAAACAACCAACCGACAATTGATAAACACTGATAAAAACAAGTTCAAAATCTGCTTCCAGGTTTTAAAGCTCTTTTATTAACAAAGTATATATATATATATATATATATATATATATATATATATATATATAACTATCCTATCAGTCTTTTCAAACTTCGTAGATGATTGACAGGTTCACTATTATTTTTTTTAAATACTAAAACAACTCTGCCTGAGGTTTTTCTAGGGTCAGTAATTGTTGGGGACGATAGATTCCCAAAACTCAAATTTTGTAATTTACTTATCGATTAAATGTGCAGATAGGTCAATTGATGAACTATCGATTAAATGTACAAATAGGTCAATTGATGAACTATCGATTAAATGTTCAAATAGCAGTCAATTGTTGATTAATGTTCAAAAATCTTCCATGACAATATCGATTGTAAATATTTGTATAAATACGCTTGATTTGTGTGCTTGACTTGACTTGTGATCTGTTGTTTGTCTGTAGAATACACTTTCTACACCTTACCCAGACTTCTTGATCGAGTTAGCAGAGTTGGGGACAACGGACCAGAATAGGCTATCGAGATTCTGAATCCTTGATCCGATCGATAAGTCACTGTCATATAATCGGCTGTCACTTTGAGCCATAACAGTAATCTCATTCCGTGAAAAAGAACTTTGCTAAGAAACGACAGCCAGAAAAATTCATTTTAATCATTTTAAATCTGCTCAAGGAGTACAAGGGGCAACATTTAGAAGAGTTATAATGCCTTATGATAAATGCCGAGATTCTTCAGAAGTCACGAGGCCGATTGTTTTTCTAAAAATCAGAGCAACAATTAACATAGGTACATTGGATGTCGCCACAATGTAGGAGACTGAGAGGACCAGTCAAGTTGTTGAGGAAATGAGATAGAACCTGGAGGAGCTTGGAACAAGCAAAAACCGTTAGAAGCAAGCTGGATAGAAAAGATAAGCTTCGAGCGAGGTTCTGTTGTACTCTGATCATGAAGAAGAAAATGTCTCGTGTATATAGGTAGTTGCACTGATGTTCTTCAAAGAAACATGAAAAGCACTTATAGTATCGGAATCTCATGGATTCAGGATCATCAAAGCATCTTTCAAAACAGCTTTTATGTCCGAATGTATTCCTGATCTTTTGTTTCGCTTTCTCCCAGCATCACGTTTGCATTGCTTAGCCATGGCGTTTCTTCTTACGGCTGAAACAAGTACGCTTTTTTCAAGTTCATACCTTCCTTGTACCGAGCACCGTTCATCAGATACTTTGTGATAGTCGTAAACTTGCCAGACAGTTACGTTGCATAAGCAGCACCACAAGTTTAGCACAGAAATGTGAAGTTTCGGTTAGGTGTATGTTCTCCAACGTCATAATTTCTACAAGGCGCCATTTTTGTACGGATTGTAACGACTGCGAAATCACAATACTGCACTAACATGCAAGCATATTTATTCAGTAGTTAATATATCGGCATGAATATTCCGTTATACGATTCCGCTGATTTTATCTAATTTAAAGGCCTACCTGGGTAGCTTCTCATCTGTTAGCCCATGTTGCAAATTATTGATCGTGCTTATATAAATGATGTGAACCTGCTATGTCAAAAATCAGCCTATCCCTGAATTCATTACTACAGTTGACCATGATCCTGTCGGGCACTTAGGCACATGCAGGTCAGTACGGTACAGTAATAATGAAATCCAGTTTAGAGTAAATCGGAAAATTGAAAATAGAGGTCATTTTAAAACTTCCAGTTCACAGAACTAACGAGCGAATCTACCTACATTACCATATTTCGGAACAGTGAACATCAACTCTGGGATAAAGGTACATCCAGCTGACGAGCGTCCTGGATCCCGCTGCTGGCCATCATACATCTTTGCTTATAATGCTTGTGGCCCAAGGCAACACCAAGGCAATCCGCACAGGATGCATATATGCCAATAAAAAAACTCCACCAAAGTCATCCACCTGAGCTACAAATCTTCTCCACCATCTCAAAACGATCAATTGCAGTCCTAAACATCAATGGGATGATTCAAACGAACAACACAGTGATAGCTATCGTTTCCAACTACAGAGTACGGTTATCTTTTACACCCCGATTAAAATGTACGGCATATGAAGACAGTATTTGGCTTCAAAAACTGTTGGAATCTCTTGATATCCTCACCTCTGTTCTCATTCTAATCTGTTCATCTAGAATTGAGCACTTCATATTGATGTTAACAGTGATTGGAAGTGCTTAAAACCGATGGGAATCACTCCAGTCAATGGAAATTAACGGCCTTATTGATCGACTTACTAACCCCACTTAACGTTTTACGCCTGACAGTCATACCCGTTTGTAAACAAGCAGTCTTAATGAGAAAACCGAATTAGGCTGAACTGCTTGTGAAACAACACTGCTGAAGTCCCATAAATACTTAACAATCAACTACGAATAGTTTCACCTGATATAGTAAATATCTCCATAATTTTCTCTAGATTGAATGAACTCATGTTAAAGACAACTTGAAATATATTAAATCTTAATATACAATAAACTGCACAAGATACAGAAGTAGTGACTTAGTACTTAAGCTATTCCACTTTCGGCCAACAAGTTCCAAGTTCGAACTCCGCTCCATTTCCTTCTGTCCGGACAGCCGGGTAATATCATGAGATCTCACACTCTGTATGGCTCATACTCAAGTACCTGGTGAATGAGTTTGTTCAATTTATTTAAGTATTATCAGACAAAAATTACTAACCCATTATTAGCAAGTATGTGAAACATATGATTATAATTCTATAAATTACGGGGTATAGCTGGACCACTACGTCTTCACAATAAGCTAATAAACGTACTTTCTCTTCGAAACATTTTTATACTTATCGTATAGTTCGCTATTCCAACAGACAACAACAACTATTTAGATAACAAAATTTATCGAAAACATATCTCACCTCTTCCACGCGAATGGGTCTTTGATCGAAAAACCCTCTTAGATCCTGACGGAAATAGTGGATAAGGCTAGGCCCGAAAGGCCCGGCAGCACGAAGAAAGGATAAAGGATTAAAGGGACGGAATATTTGACGGAAAGTCGAAAATATCCATGCTTGAGCTGCACCTACATTCGACTGATCTTTAACTTTTAAAGGATCCTCGACAAAACCCCAAGGATCTGCTAGGATCAAATGAACAATCCTAATTAAAAAGAATAAAAAGCATTGACAATTTTTAGTAAGCAAAACCATTATTTTAATGCTATTCATACAACACTCAAGTATTTTATAAACACAATAAAGTATTTCACGACGTATAAATTCCAAGCTGATACAATATCGAACCTAGAACAATAGTGCACTAGCCCAAGTCTCTATATTTCAAAACAGACATAAAAAAGACAACAGAAACAAGACTAAGTAAAAAAATAAGTGGGTCCGAAGCAAAGAACGTCAGTAGAGCTGGCCTACTGGTGGTTTAAAGAAGCATTATTACAATTTTACTTAACTCAGATTGGAAACAAATTCTTTCATGAAATGAATCAATTCCAAAGCATAGTAACTCAGTGAACTTCTCTAATATTTTTATTCATTAATAATATTTATGTTCGAGATGGACGAATAGGAATATACTATAAACATTCTGCATCACAATCTTCTTGAATAATTTAAATATTCCATCCGCAGAATTATGTTCATTCAGTGCTTTTAACTGTTTGGATAGATAACGTTATGAAAGTATTCCCTAGATTTAATAACCACGTCTTACAAACACTTAGTAGTCAATCATAACCATTGTATAGTCTAGCATATAGTTGCACAGCAAAATGAAGTTAACAAGCATAATACCAAATGAGTTCATATTATAGCAGTATTAATGATAATGAGAACGACTAAACATTAGGAATATGGTTCTAAAGAGTATAAAGACAGGATATGAATCAGTCACAACGTAGAACCTGATACGTATGTACATCGTTTCAAGTCTCCATAAACCATTAGCGCAAAGATGAAATTTTCGGGCCAAATCTCAGAAAAGTAGAGGTAGTAACAGTACCAGTGGTAATAGGAAGGGTTTGGGACTGGAGATACGACTCGACAAAATAGAAATTAGTGAAATAAAGAAGAGGAAATTTAGAATCTCAGAATTTTGGGGAAGACAAAGAGTGGATGTATTTGCGTCACCGCAAACGGTCGTGAGCTATGTCATTCAAAGTGTCTAACCACTGATCACGATAATCAAGCGGAAGGGAAACTTAAATTCAAGATTTAGAGGAAGATAAACAGTAAGTGCATTTGGGCTAGTGTGACTGGTCCTCAACTGTTACTCGACATCTACAATTGATGATTGCGGCTATCTCGTAGAACTCGATCAGGTAGTCTGAACTTACCAACAGTTAATTATTTCATGAATTGATGCCCAGTCTTGGTTTAGACGTCCCTATGTTTATTACAACCAACTCCCATGTTAACCAGCGTTGCGCGTCAGGGTATGAGGTGGTTGGGTAAATATAACACGTTTCAACCATCCCGATCGGTAGATTTAGTCTGACTGCTTGATTTCCCATAATCACCTAGTACAATATATCTCACTTGATTGTTCCTCCATACGCGAGGAAGATACTTATGATCAAACACTTATATCCTATATAAGGCTTCTACATTTATAAACCGTGTTTCTCACGGTTAAGGTGTACGTGTATTTTTGGACTTACAAATTGCAAATCATAACTCCACCTGTAGCTCTTCTAGAGCTAATGCCAGTCCAAAGCCCACAACAAGGAGAAGGGTTGTGCGTGGGGTCTGCAACCACATCCCGTAGAAAACAATCTTGCTAAAAAACGCCGATCAGATTAAACAAGTTGAACCATTAAAGCTCTGCCCTCCGAGTTGAAGGGAGAATTATAATGCCTCAGGATGAAAGCCAAGATTCTTCGGAGGTCACGAAGCCGATGTCCCTTCTAACAAACAGGGCAACAATTTTTATAGGTATACGGAACGTCCGGACAATGTGGGGGACCGGGCGGACCAACCAAATAGCTGTGGAAATGAGGAGGCACAACTTGGCGATGCCCAG